GGGCAAAGGTTTAAAAATAATATCAGGAAGTATTACTTTACTGAGATGGTAGTGGATGCATGGAATAGCCTTCCAGCTGAAGTGGTAGAAGTTAACACAGTAAAGGAGTTTAAGCATGCTTGGGATAGGCATAAGGATATCCAAACTATAAGATAAGGCCAGGGACTAATTTAAGTATTTAGAAAATTGGGCAGACTAGATGGGCCGAATGGTTCTTATCTGCCGTCACATTCTATCTTTCTGTTTCTATGTTTCCTTATTGAATAAATCCCTGGACCTTGGTGATTCCAAACATTAGAAAATATACAACCCTACTTGAATTAGCCAGCATAGGGGTTCCTGGGTTCCAAAATAGCTGCTTGAGATTCTGTGCCCCTGTCCAGTGTGCTTCAATATCCGCCCATTGTGGTCTGTTGAGATAAGATTGTAGTGTGTTGGCTGTTACCCCTATGGCCACTTTATAGTATTTTTTTTTCATGTCTGGTATTCCTAGACCACCTTTGCTCTTTGGTTTTGTTAATATGGCAGTGGCTACTCTAGTCTTACTATTTTTCCATATAAATTTACCTAGTATCTTTTTGTAGCTTGTCAAGGAATGGTTTTGACAGCGAGATTGGCAGTGTGCGCAGTAGGTAGTGAAATTTTGGAATGAGAACCATATTTACTGGCACTATTCTTCTCAGCCACGACAGGTAGTATTGAAGAGGTGAAACTGTGCAAGAGTGGTTCGTAGTTGTGTTTATACAATAGTGAGGATTTTTTGGTTAATTTGAGACCTAGAAAGGTAAGATGGTCTTCTCTCCAGTCAAATGAAAATTGTGTGCGCAATACCTCTAGTTTTAAAACTATCCACACACTCATTGCCTGCGTTTTTGACATGTTCAGTTTATAATATGAGTGTCTTCCATATGTTCTATCAAGTCTAACACGTTTGGGAGGGATACACTTGTTTTAGACAGTATAATTAATATGTTGTCCGCAAAGGACTACAACACTGCTACATATATGTATGTCACTACAAAGTCAAGGCCAATTCTGATGCCGTGGAGACTGTACTGCTTTTTACATCTTTCCCCCCTTTTGTCTGTCTGTATATCTCATGACATAATAAACATTGTCAAATTTGAAAACAAATTTAAAAAAAAATGTAATAGACTAAGTATACGGTTGTAAGTTGTGATACCCACCTTTTTTCTCTCCTTTTCCTTTCTGTATCCCAAAAACAATAAAAATTGTCAAATTGAAAAAATATATAGATATATTTTACTGTCCTCCATACTTATAAATATGCTTTCCGCAGCCGTGCTTTTATTTAAATCCATAATTCTGTTTGTTGTGTTAAAATAATTTGTATACACTACTATCATTTATGTTTTCTCAATATATTATGTTGAGATGCTGAGAATTACTTTAACATAGCATTGAACAATATACTAAAGTGAACAAATCAATTTAAAAGAATAGATGCAATTTGTCTTGTCAAAACATCACAGCTCAATTATTTAATCAGATATCTATTTGGCAGAATTTTACCTATAGCAATCAGAACAATTAAAATTGCACAAGAAGCTTTTTCAGTTTTCCATAAAAATCAAGTGAGCATGATTAGAAAGATAAATTATTCACGCTACTGTGTAAAGGTCATCTTAGATGCCGCTGTACAAAAATCATCAAACAAGCAAAAATCAAGGTGCTTTCTCTTGATTAGATCTTTTAAGCTAACAACTTCAATTTTCACATTTCAAAGCAGTACTTTAATGTACTCCGTTAATAAAGTTACTACATTCTCCATGTTAAATAGATAACATTAATATTATTGATAATAATAATAAACTTTAAGCTTTGACAAGTTTATCATATTGACTTTAAAGTTATATTCATGCACGCTTAAATATTGTTTGTGTAATTATGAATATTTGTCTGTATTTGTGAAATGAGAGTATCCGGAACAAAATGTAAAGCTTGAATAGATAGACAGACAGACCGACCGACAGAATAGCACTACTGTACAAACTACTGGAATAGGATACTTGACTAGGATACATATACTGGTTTGTTCAGAGCTCACTGCATAAACAGAAAATAAACACAGAGAACAGTACCTTTTGTAACTTTGTATAATTTTTGTCTTTACTTTTTTTTGTCTTTGTTTTGTGTGCATTTTTCGTGCATTATAATATATTACACCAAAAAAGGGGGTGCCTGTCCCTTTAAGATTCCTATTATCAGTTGATCCAGTTATGGTGAGCACACTTTACTTAAATTTTTCTGTAATTAGTTTACTATTCACATACAACCCATGCTATCATCTCCGTGTACATAATCTAATTTCAAGCACAGTTTATTTTTAATTATCTATATAAGCTGAAATTCATTAAAATTCTTAGAATGTGCAAAATTTATTTAATTGCAAAGGTAGCTATTAACCTCATTAAAACTATCTTAGCATCACATATTAAGGCAAACCAAAAATATGGTATAGAGTTAAAACATTTAAAAAATATGTATATATTATTTTGAATTCACCTGAGTGAAAGACACTGTGGTTAGGTTAAATGTATTTGTGATATTATTGAGTAGGGCAGGTGAGCTTATACTTTAATGGCCATAATTCTTGGTCACTCTGTATGTCCAATAGTGTCTTGTTCATGTTATGCAGGGTATGAACTATATATATATATATGTATATATATATATATAAACAAAACCAAGAGGGCTGCACTCACCTAAACATGCATACATTATAGGGTGCTGCTGGGGCCAAAATATACAAAATACAGAATCCAGCGCACTCGCTTATTCACTAAACAATGCTTTCAAAATTTTAGAGATTGTAATAGTTTTATTTAAAAACACCTCACCTAGGCAAAAAATAATGGGGGTTTAGTTACATTATATGATCATATATTGCATAAGCCTGCCACAACGTCAATGTACCCCATTCTTGGCAGGTCCTACTCTGCAGCCTGCTAAATAAAACTATTACAATCTCTAAAATTTTGAAAGCATTGTTTAGTGAATAAGCGAGTGCGCTGGATTCTGTATTTTGTATATTTTGGCCCCAGCAGCACCCTATAATGTATGCATGTTTAGGTGAGTGCAGCCCTCTTGGTTTTGTTTGTATATTTGGGAGTCTAGGCCAGCTCCTTGGTTTTGCACCCCTCCCTGTCACAGGTGCCTCATTCCAGGATCCTATTTAGCCTTGACTTGCAGAGAGTCCCAGTAAGGAAGTATTTCCCAAGTAAGTGGATCAATCTCATAAGGGCAAGCATTCGGCTGCTAGAGTAGGACCTGCCAAGAATGGGGTACATTGACGTTGTGGCATGCTTATGCAATATATGATCATATAATGTAACTAAACCCCCATTATTTTTTGCCTAGGTGAGGTGTTTTTAAATAAAACTATTACAATCTCTACAATTTTGAAAGCATTGTTTAGTGAATAAGCGAGTGCGCTGGATTCTGTATTTTATATATATATATATATATATATATATATATATATACACTGCTTTCTCTTCCTCCTAGTGACCAATATAACTGCACTATGTATCTATTTATTATTTTATTATGTGATGTGGTGATTATACATTTTGGTGTACTGCTATGTGTATATTTTACCAGACACAACCCCCCCAGAGAGTGATATATACTCACATACATACACACACACACACACACACACACAGACACAAATACTTATTGACACATACAAACACACAATATTAGGCACACATTCTGCTAAATATACACACACAATTACATTGAAAAATATATACAAACACACACATACATCTCTACATATGTCATACACTCCTTCATATGGGCTACACTCACACGCTATCCTACACACATACATTGCTACACATACACCCTGCTACACACATGCATTGCTAAACACATACCCAACTAAGTACATACACTGTTACACATGCATACACTACTATGCACACATATTGCCACACACACATACATTGCTAAACTCACACTCAGCTACATACACATACACTGCTACACACACTCCTATTCTTACTATACACTACTACAAACTTACACACACACATTAAAATTGCTATTTTTTATTTTATTTTATTTTTTAGCCACCCACCTTTTTAGTTACCATTTTCCAGCTGGAGGGTGGCTTGCCAGGAGCCCAGTGGTGGTTGAGCTGAAATATAGTTGTGGGTTGTAGGCTCCTCTTCTCACCTACCACAAAGCTTTTACAAGCCTAGGGTGAAGTGATCTAGCCTCACTCCTCCCAGTGCTGGTGCATTGCTCTCAGCCAATGAGCATTGGCCTGCACAGTAGGGCTTAGCTCATTGAAGCCAATGGAAGTTCCTTTCAGGATATTCCATCAGTAAGTGAGGCATTGATAAGCGCCCAGTAGGATCTATTTAGGTGCTATAGTGTCACCTTATACAGCATGTGTTTCTATGCTTTACCAGGAAGTGGCTAATTAAGTGTTTGGAATCTTTGCAAGCAGGCATTATTGATATCCAGCTGGTAAATAAAAAAAAAGAAAACAGCAACAGCTTTCATTAAATAGCAACCACTACTAATTTGCGTCTGCTACAATTCGACTATAGCAAGCTCTGTGAGTCACTGAGTAGAACATTTTACTATATACCGTATTTGCTTGATTTTAAGACAAAGTTTTTTTGCAGAAAAAATCTTCTGAAAAAACAACCTTGTCTTATAATTGAGGTTGTTTTATAATAGAGGCTTGACATATTCTGACTGAGCGTGGAGGCAGGTGGGCAGCTCATTGAACCAGAGGGAAGCATGCTGGTGGCTGACTAATCGTGTAGGTGGCGAGGGAGCTGTAATCCTACTGCTCTGCTCCCTTGTGTAATCCTCCTGTGATGCTGGGAGCTGGAATATGATAGCACCCTAGGGAGCAGACCAGGGAGATCACAGCAGCCCACTGGACCACAGGGAAAGACACAGTAAAATAAATCAAATAATTTGTGAGTGTTGCAGTACCAGTGTGTGTGCCAAATCAGTGAGTGTGTGTGTGTGTGTGTGTCTGTCTACCTGTCAGACACACACACACACACACACACACACACACACACACACACACACACCTACTGACAGTCAGTAAGTGTGTGTGTGTCTGTCAGTCAGTAAGTGTGTGTGTCTGTCTGTCAGTAAGTGAGTGTGGGTGTGTCTCTCTGTCAGTGAGTGTGTGTGTATCAAATCAGTGTGTGTCTGTCTGAAAGTGAGTGTGTATGTTTAGGTGACCTGCCCTCCTCATTTTATCCCCCACACAGTGCTGGTGATACTGCAGCTGGCCCCACTTCCATGGTTGATATCATCAATCTATTCCTCATAGGAAGGTTTTGGGAGACTATTGCACATGCGCAGCAAAACACCATGCTGTGGCAGTTCTCCTCAGAGAAATGCATTGCATCAATGCATTCCTATGGGGAGCATTAACGTAGGTGTTTGAGTGTCTGTCACTTGAGGTGTTACTAGGCAGCAATGTAAACACTGCCTTTTGTCTGAAAAGTCAGTGTTTACACTGAAAAGCGTGCAGGGACTGGATCTAGACTTCAGAACAAATACATTAAGATCTTTGATCCCTCTTGCTGGCAGTGCTTGTGCCTGCTGGTGACAGATGAACCCAGGGCCCGGGATGTGAGATACATTATTTAAAGGACGCTGTTCGCGCACAAGTTGCAGTTCAGACATTCAAGAAAATAGCTATTGATAGGTATTGCAAAGATTTGGGGTTTATTATGCATATCTGAGAATGTGTGAGTATCTGTTTGTGAATTTAAATGTGTGTGTATGTGTGTTAGTGTGTGTATCTGAGTGTGAAGGTGTGTGTGTGTGTATGTATACTTTGCAGATAATCTGGTTGTTATGTTTTTTAATGATGGAAAAAAAATTATGGCAAAAACAGTGGATTCGATTTTTTTCCAATAGGCTAGTCTTATGTTTAGGCCTTTGCTTTTTATTACCAACAGGATCCAAAATTGGGGGGGGTCCCCTTATAATCAGGGTTGTCTTATAATCGAGCAAATATGGTAATATTCTCCACAAGATCACATAAATTATATGATTAATAAATACATAATTACTAGAATATACTAGAGACCAAATGATTGTTCAATACATTGCTTCACTTAGTATCATACAGAAAGCATATTAGTAAAATTGGAAGTATAGGCTTTTTCATTAACGTCCACGTCATGAAACATATTTAAACTTGTGATATAACATCTTTACAAAAACCATATTGATTGTGTTAGAATTTCATAAAAAAGGATATTAGAGGACAAAGAAGGGACTACCTCCTGTTATGTACAAACTGAAGTTTAATAAAATTTACCAAAGGTGGTGCTCCTATCATCACGTATTGTCAATTTCTGCAGCCCAGAGCCAGACGCTTTAGAAAACAAATGGTGGTACTCATGAGAGGGAAGTATCTTCAACTTTACCAAATTATCTTAACCTTTAGCTTTAATTCTGGGCCACCACATACCAAGTGGAGATGTCACCTTCTCGAGGAAGTCTTTGCATGATATGCAAAGACACCAAAGATGACAGAATCACTTTATATTTTAGTGGCTGCACTTGTCAGTGTTGCTTGTAGATTAGATGCAGTTGTGTAGTAAGTCAAAATTAGCATCTTTGGTACAATGTTAGTGATGACAAATTATTTTTGTGGAACTTTACCAGCAAAGAATATTTTGCAAAATTAGCAGAGAAAAGATGGTTCAGCTCTTCTTCTGACTAATGGAACATCAGATCAATATCTAATATTTATTCTTGAAACCATGCTTCACTAATGAATCAGCTTGAATAAATGTGACTAAAATGCAGTATCAAGCTTGCATTTCTGTACCATAGCAACTAAAACATACAGACACACTGAGGAACATTCTTTTAAAATATATTTTAAGTTAACTTATTCATTTGAAGCAGATAGCATATTTTACTGTAAATGTATTCCATTTCGTTAGTTGAAAGAGATGTTCTTCTACTACTTCCTTCGAAATTTAATATTTAGTAAAGGACTGTCATATCTCTTTTGTGTTTACAATTGCCTGGAATATGTCTTTTATGAGAGAGGTTTAGAACTAGCTTTGCATTACTACATGTATTCATTGGACTCTTCAAAAAACTGCTAAAATATTATAGAGACACATCTTAAGTGTTAACTGACAAAAGGTCACATTGGAAAAGCAGAAAAGAGTCATACTCTTTCTTTTGAAATGCCATTAGACACTATCACCATTTACTTTTTCAATAACATGACAAGTAACATCATTATGATAAATCAGAACATTTTAGATATTGAAATTTGTACAGACTTGAGGTATTTTTTTTCAAGCGATGAATTCCTTCTGTCTTATTTTCTATTTTAAATATACATTAAAGACAGCACAGGCTTTGGAAAATATTTAAAGGTTGAGTAACAGTTAATGTCACTTAATTGCAATATTTCTGTATCTACAGTAGGAATGTGATATGAGGCAAATACAATCTTTAAAAAATATTCACCCAATAAAAACATTTAATATAGTAGCATACATTGCATCTAATGCAAGCTTAGCAGGCAGACATTTCATTCATAGTTTCTTAATCCAATGAGATATCTGACTGCCATTCTGGGGCCAAGAAGGATTTTTTTCCCTAGATTGTTGCATATTGGAATGCGCTTCAGACTGGATGTGTTGCCTTCTTTTGGATCAACAGCAAAAACAAATGTGAAAAAGTCTGAACTTGATGGCCATTTGTCTCTTTTTGGCTATGTAACTATTTTGTTTTCTCTCATTGCTCATACATAGTTGAAGGAGGTGGCTCATCATTGATGGGTACTTAAACCTATCTTAACATGTTTAAGAAATCATAGGAAGATCAATATTTGTATTGCTTTGTTATGTTATTAGAAAGTGTAAGTGTACTACTATCTGAGAAAGTGGCATGGGCGGGTAATCTTAAAGAGAATTCTTTTTCCTTAACAGTTTTTAATGAACATGACCTATTAATTCATTGATTATTAAAACTTGCATTGTGTTTAATTCTACGAGTTTAAAAGCTACAATCAAGGCAAAATTGTCTTAAGTCTTGAAGGTATGCAAGGCTTTTAGGGCTTGTCACTTCCTCAGTGGTAAACCATCTGTTTAAATCAACCTTCATTCACCATAATGTGTTTTGCAGCAAACTTTAAACAAAAGTTTAAATTTCCATAATGTTTATACCACTGGTACCAACTTTAATAAGGATGAGATGCACAGCCTTATCTGAGCCACACTTATAATTTGGAATTAAACCCTTCTGCATTATCAATGTCACTTTTGACAAACCTGTACAACACTGATTGCCCAAGAACGTGAAGGAGGGTTAGTACAGCATTCTCGGCTATGTAATCTAGGATAGATGTAATTAACAATGATAATGTGGTAGGAATTCAGGATTATAATTGTGAACAAGATGGTGGCAGTCCCTCTTAGCTGGGAAGAACACCAGTCTACAATCGGGAGAAAAGGAAAGTACACTCATTTTGAATTCTATAGTTTAACATATCAGGAATTAATAACAATCATCTGTTCCTTGGCAAGTCTTAAAATTAGGTTAAAAAAACCTCAGATGAACAACCACACATAACATACAACACCATGTCACGATTTATTTAACAAAAATAAAGCCGAATTGGAGAAGCCATGTGTGAAAAATCAAGTACACCTTATGATTCAATAGCTTGTAGAACCACCTTTAACCAACTTTAGGAGCAATAGCTTAAGGTAATAATTTTCTGTTTGACTTTATCAGTCTCTCACACCATTGTGGAGGAATTATGACCCACTCTTCTTTACAATGTTGCTTTAGTTCATTGACGTTTGCTGGTTTTTGTTTATGCACAGCTCTCTTAAGGTACTGCCACATCATTTCAAACAGGTTGAGGTCTAGGCTTTGACTTGGTCATTGCAACACCATGATTCTTTTCTTTTTCAGCCATCCTGTTGTAGATTTGCTGGTGTGCCTGGGATCATTGTCATCTTGGAGGACCCAATTTCTGCCAATCTTGAGCTGTCAGATACATGTCCTCACATTTGACTCTAGAGTGCTTTTGAACACAGAGGAGACCTAGGTTGACTTAATGACTGCAAGGTTCCCAGACCCTGTGGCTGCAAAACAAGCCCAAAGCATAACCCCTCACCCACTGTGCTTGACAATGGGTATGAGGTATTTACATTGTTTAGATAGTGCCTTAATAACCTCCCTACTTTGATAGGAAGAAATTTAAGATCATTGCTTATGCCTTACCTCATTGGCATTGTGTCAACACACACCTGAATGCTCCAAACCAACAAACTGCTAAAACTTTGGCTTTTATAGAGATGGTCACACTTGCTGATGATCAATTAATCAAAGGTATTTGATTAGCAGCACCTGTCCGCTACTTAGCCTCTTAATGCCTATGAAAGCAGCTAGGGTGTTTCTCCATTTGACATGGTGTAATGGGGTCATGTGTTGTTGTTGTTGTTCATCTGAAGTTTTATTTACCAAATTTTAAGATCTGTTAAGTATCAGTTGATTGTTATTATGTCCTGATATGTAAAACCATAAAATTCAAAGAGGGTGTACTTTCTTTTTCCATGGCCATATATCAGACTATTCTACAATGGTTTAATATAAAACCATGAGATGATACGAGGGGCAATATAATCACTTCAAATGACTTTTTAAATCCATATTGAGATGAATCAATTAATCTGAGATGTACCTGTCTTAGTCACAAGTCCATGAGAATCTTATTCAATGACTTAAACTACACAGGTAAATTTCATTTAATCAATTTATCTGGATATGGATTCAAATTGATTCAGGTGAACTGGTCTGAATACATGTTTGTACAAGTCTAACTATAATAACAGTGAACAAATATACTTTCTAAAGGTTTTTACAATGTTTAAAAATAACTGTTAATCCCATATGGTTATAGGATGTAATTTCTCCATTGATTAATTGTGACTACTTAAAAGAACATGTATTTTTAAATTACTTCTTAATTTATTAACTGTGAAATTTGTAAGAATTGGGTAAAGCTGCTGTTTTCTTTATTA